CAGTGTCCAGTTAGCATCACTGTCACATGACAGGCCCTATGCGACAACCCGCAGATAGAGCGATGGATGAGACAGGGTATGCTGGGGGTATGTGGGCAGAGGGCAGTGTGAGTCAACTCACTACGATACGGACGATCATGGGCTATGACAAAGGCGAGAAGGGGAGGCTCCAGGAGCATTAAAAGGAATTAATTCTGCCAAGGAAGTCTGGGCCAGCGAGGGGACAATACAGCTAATAATATAATATTATTTAACACCTAGAGTTTTTTACTATATAAGACACTATCGTAAGTCTTAAGGAATTGAATTAAATGCTCATTTAGTCTTACGCTGACCCTAAACATAGGTATTATCATTATTTCCATTGTACAGTTGAGGAAAAGAGGCACGAGTCACTAAGAAACATTGCTTTACAACCACATAGTGGTCAGGACTAGACCCAGGGAGGGCAGTCTGGATCTGCAGTCCATGCTCCTCCCACTGCATCCACTATCTGGGACCAGTGCCATACTGGTGAGCAGTGTGGGCTGTGGATTCAGACAGACCTGGCATGAAACGTGTAAGCACTTACTCTAATAAAACAGCTGGGCTTGAGAAGTGATAATCGTTTTGATAAATGATAATTGCGCTGTGTTGCTGTTGTTGTCGTTGTTGACATTACTGAACCCTGAGAAATGAGGACACGCTCACTGGGTAAAAAGAGCAAAGGACATTCCAAGTGGAGGGGTCACCCTGAGCAAATCACGAAAGCTGGGCTGTGAACGGTGTGCACGGGAAACAGCAAGACCTTCTGCTCACGCACTGACGATGCCCCTGATCTGCTGCGCACAGCCAGGCAGGGCGCGCACTGCAGAGCTCTCAGGGGAAACGCCACAGTATGGTCATCAACGTGCATAGTGACTGCAACGGTTTCCCAACAAACGGCAACGAGTCATTTGCACAAAGGCATCTTAAAAGCTAAGGGTGGCCTTACAGTCACTGTCCCTGTCCCTCTGTATATCTGGTACAGCTTCAGGGCCACAGAGCACACTGAATCATAACTGAGGCTGTAACAAACATGAGTCAATCAAAAGTCTCTGGTTGGATGTTCCCGGCCCTACCATGCGGCCCGGGCCTACCTTCTCGGTGCATCTGTCACTGAGCCACCACACCTCCTCCTATGCGGAACCACCGACACCCCGCTTTTCTCCACGCCTGCCCTCCTTCATGACCTTCCCCCTGCAGGGTCCTAGTCAACACTCCCTTTGCCTGGACACTGGTCTTCTTCTATCTCCGACTTCAAACCCTGACCATTTTCGAGGTTTAACCTTGTCCTAAATCAGTCCATATGTTTTCAGCGGAAAGAAATCATTTCTTCTTTTGAACCCTCATGATAATTTTACCTCTTTCTCTTCTTGTATTCATTATTCTTGCTATGAATTCTAGCTATTTATATATGCCTTACCTCCTGTAAGTTCCTCGAAAGAAAAGTTTCAGACTGGTTCATCTCCATCCTCCAAGTAGAATGCCCCTTTTGCTCAATAAGCATGTGGAGCATGAATGAATGAATGAACCAATGAAAATGGTAGCAGGGTCTAGACAGGAGTTCTTCACTTCATCTGACTCAACAACTCCTTTTTACAACAAATATTTTGTAACTCTTCCTTTATTATCTAAAGTGATTATATAATCTATCTACACATATAAAGTTTAAGCAAATCAAGATGCCCTAATTATAACATAAAGGAAAAAGGAAAGAATATGATTTCTGGTTAAAAAATTTATGTGGATTCCTATGTACTTAAGTTATAACTACAATAAAAGAACATAATGACAGTGATATATGTGTGCACTTTCTTATAATGAATAAATTTGGGTTTAAGAGAGTATTCAACTCAATACTGTTGACACTGTTTTCTTTATATTTGACATTTTTAAAGAAGAGCCACGTAAGTTGAGTTATGGTGAATATGAAATAGATACAGCAGTGCTGAGTTGGTAACTCAACTATAAAGTGCATCACAGTGGCTTGGTCTTCCAAAATGATGAACGACTCTTAATGAGGTTCCGACCAAACAAGGCACATCCTTCTCTCAGTTTAGTTGCATTTCTGGGAAATTCGGTGTTCTGAATATGGTACAGAAATACGTGGCTTACATTTAAAATAGAGCAAGGTTTTAGATTCAGGTAGTTAGAAAACAGGTGTTTTATTTACCTAAGACATTAGAAAGTCACACAGCATTTCAAACACCATGACCCCTCTACTATGATGGGCAATATTCTATCCTGGGCCATTCTCCCCATCTCCCCTGCTGTGCCCTGCGTATCCTGGGTGCATCTGCCCGTTCTCAAGCAGTAAGTCCACTTTTTGTGCAGTATCACCTATGTGGGCATCATTAAGTAAATCAGATAGATAAAGTTATGAACAAAAAAATACAGCCTGTTCACCTGTGTGTTTAGATAGGGGCTCAGCGAATGCTTCCTCAGGGGAGGAATGAATGAGCCCACATATTTTTATCTTTTAGACAGTTGTGCATTTAGAAATACAGTTTTCTCTTTCCTGACCTGCTCATCTGGTCCTCCCCAACTTATTCCTCCACGGCTAAATCAGTGAGCCCTTTTCTGTAAAAACCTTCCCTCCTATTCTAGGCAAAGCCCGGTCCCGATGCCCCGAGCACTGACAACTCCATTCACACCTGTGTCTCAGCAGCTGTCCCTTCAATTTGTGAGTCTGCTTTCACCCCCCGACTGTGACCACTTCAGGGGCAGGGACCACACATTATACATCTGTGACGCCCCAGGAAGCAGCGCCACACGGCGGAGGACAGGCGTCCGACACACAGCTGGCTGACCCGTCCTGGTTCCCCTGCCAACGGTCTGCAGTGACCGCAGCAATAAGAGGCTACATCATCTGGAAAAGATGATGCAGATCCCTGTCCTCTACCTGAGAAACAGGCTTATTTTAGGGTCCTGCAATATTTACGATTTTTTATGGCATAAAGTTATAACAATTCTATGAAATAAAACTGTAAATGGGTAGAGAAGTGAGTTCAATGAGTTTCCTTGGAAAGAGACACAGGATTTGGAGTTGGAAAGTCTACTCTGGGTCTGCAGCCAAGGCAGGGACCACTTCCAGAACCCGTTTCCTTATCTGCAAGATAAACATGACATCACTTTTGCCTCGGCGTCCACTGGTCTGATTTGAGGACCTAATAACATATTGCTATGAAGCTGTTCCCGATTTGATATTGCCCCTGCTATTACCAACAACGACGAATTTACATATGACATTTCCTGCCTTCTCACTGATTCCTTTGACATATTACCAATATCTCCATATCTGAAAATAGGAACAGCTTTCAATATTGACTTATCCCCTGCAACATGCTAATAATAAAACAAAATTCACTCATATAAGGATCGAGATCAAGAATCGTTTGAAATTCAAGACAAGGTGTAAATTGCTGCAAAGGGTCTCTTTAATTGGGATCAAAACATTTTTGACAGCTTTTGGATTTTAAAATTCTAACTATTGTCACGTTCTGCAAATGTTTCTTTTCTTGGCTTTTTTTAAAAAAAAAAAAACCTGCAGTCAAGCTTGAGCAGAAATACTTCAGACATGATAAACAACTAAAATCGGTCATTCCAAATGACAGAGACCCAGTTTTCCATTTCTTTGATATTTAGGATAGAATACTTCACTTAGACTCTTATCCTGCACAATTCAGTCGGTCCCCTGCTGGGCAATGACAAAGGTTTAGGAAGCTGTTCCTGCTCATGATCTCCACTGAAGGTTTTGTAAAACCTCCATTTATCTGAAGATAAATCATACTGACAGGAATGACTTTGAGGAAGACACAGAATCTTAAAACTAGTCTCAGTCATCACCTTAGATGTGACTTTGCTCAGCACCTCATTTCTACTTGACTCCCACAGCTTCCCCATCGGATGGCTGTTTCTTGAATACTCCCAGCAACGGTGAACTCACTCGCACACAAGGCAGTCCACCTAACTGTTCTATTTGCTTGTCCCCAGATGGTCGCCTGGGTCCTTCCACCCCTTGGCTTTTGCGAAGCGAGCTGCTGAGCACCTGGGCGCGCCCGTCCCTGTCCTGTGGCTAACTCTTCAGGAGCAACTTTTCTTCAAGAAGACCCACTTTTACTGTGAAACGATCACCCTACTACCTACATTTCATCCTAATATGAGTCAGAACCAAGGGGAGAAAAAAATAATGCAAAATGGTGAAGGTTAATTAACTTGGCTAGTGGAGTATTATTTATACAGTGCTTGATAAATTAGCTCGTGAAGTTCAGCGAGGTGAATACATGAAAGGACAAATATGTCCCTTTGACTCCCGCCCTCTCAACGAAGCAGATCATAGAATATTTTTCTGTTTTCTCCTTACCGTCAATACACAGGCCCGACAATGTCAGGCTAGCCCTGGGGATGAACCTGGGAGCTAATTGCCTCTGGGAGGCTGATGAAAACACAAACCCCGTCTTCGCTTTGTTCAACAAATATATTAGCACTTACATTTACTAGGCATGCGGTGATAGAGTTTGCTTTTTAAGGCTGAAAACTTCACGTATTCTTTTTGATTACAGCATCTACGAGGTTCCACAGGTTAAACTCAAGAGAGTCTGGATGCTTTGACCGAGTCAAAAAGAGCTCAATGTGTTTCCCTCTAGGATGCATGTCATTAAAGCTGCCAACGCACAAAGAAATCCAACTTAAACTGTCCCCTTGCCCACCACTCTTCAAAGCTCATCAATCTCCCATTAGATTACCAGGACCGTGTGACACTTTTATCACAATTATGCTGTAAGAAACATGGTGCAGTCACACTGTGGCCAAGTCCGGGAAAAGCCTCCCTTTGATGGACGATCACAATTGATCAAGTTTGTCAGCTGCTTTATGTGTTTTTATGCTTGTTTGATATTCCTGCCCAGTGAGGAGAGGCTTTTAAGGGCACATCTGTCAATGGATTCAATTTCACAATGCCATGTGGTGCTTTCACTTACCCCTGTCTTCTCATCAAAGATTTTGATTCCTCCAAAGGAGATGGTTAAAAAGATTTTCTGTTTGTGTTCTCCTTTGGAACGAGCACCAGCCACAACGCCCTGTTGAAAGGAAAGACACGGCTTTTACTGTAGTGTTTTCATTTGAAAATGCCCTCCGGTCCCAAAGGTGTGTCAGATACCATCAACTGATGCCACCAATCATACATGCTCCTTTCTCTCTGCTCCTTCCAGGTTTCCCTACTTGATGTGCTTGCATCTGCTTGATGTTTTAGGGGAATACTTATCCTCACTGTTCTAATGTCGTATAAACAGATGTCTGAGCACCGATTCATCTGGCTAACCAAGATTTATAGAACGCCTACTTTGTGCCTAGATACAGAATTCGAGATCCCAAGATATACACACCGCAGTCCCCTTATTAATAGCTTCGCTGGGTTTTGCATTGCATATGGTTTTAATCTTTTCGATAACGGTGAGTCATGGAATATATTCCTAAATGTGATTTTATTTTTATGCTTCTGGAGAAAGTTTTCATATGAATCAGTTTAGAGATAAAAGAAAATAATAACTGTTGCCAGACTGCATGTCTCAATTTTTGCTTGGGGAAATCTGATGATCATAGTTTATGTTGATGGTTTATAACATTTACCCACAGACATTTTATAGTGTCCCTTACTCTTTTCCCTATCACTCCTGGGCTTTCAAAAAAAGTATTTACCAAAAGCATTCCATCTATCAATATATCTGTTTCCACACTTTTCCACACTTTTTATAAACTGACGGTATGGATATGAATCAATTAGAAGGTAAACATCACAAAAGGTAGGGATGTTACTCTGCTCACTGCTCTATCCCCAGTGCCCAGGACAATCCCTGGAGGGCAAGAGGTTCTCAGTAACTTACTGTTACCTGAATGTGCTACTCAGAGTCCCCCTAAGTTGATATGATACAAGTTAAGAGTAAAGACACTTTCTAAATTAGCCTCTGTGGTGACCAAGAATAGGTAAGCATGGGTTTCATGCTAGGCTACAACCCGGAGGGTAAGGACAGGTCAAGGGATTTACTTAAGGGCTGCCCGTGACACTGCATTGGGAATTCTGAAGCTTCTAGTCCCTTCATCACTGTTAGCCTCTGCAGAGGGCGAGATGAAGTCCAACTCCCAGCAGTTATGGTTTGGGGCTTTTAGGTGTAGTAAAGCCTAAAATAGTACTGATTTCATATTTCTAGGAGATAAGAGTTGTCTGTGCTGCTCTCAGAATAGCAGGTGCTCAGTATCAGTCTCCGAGAATGACTGGTGTTAGAGAGCAACAGACATGACCAGAAGGCACAGCAAGGGGCTTTCATTGTCTTGAGGTCGTTCGATCACCCTCACTTTGTGTATGAATCCCTTCCTAGGTGAGGACATCAGATATAGTGCGGAGAGGGCTACACCTTTGGTCAAATCTAGCTTCAGTGTGTCTCTCTAAAACAGTCCCAACAGTCCCTAGGTTTTAGAATCACTGCAACATCAAACAGTAGTAACTCCCGGCACACAGTGGTGCTGACTAGGCAATGCCCCCCGTTTCCTTCCAGGTTCCACTTAGCTATCAAAAACCTCCCTGGCTGATATAGGGCTGAACATAAAAAATATGAAAAGAGCAGACATGCGTGGTCCAGGAGCACTTCTGCTGGGGCTGCCGGCGGTAGCTTTATGTGACAAGTGAAAGCAAGGAGGACTATCCATGCAATGCTATCTTTGGGGAAATAAAACTCCAACTTTATCGAACATGTTTCTCCTGTGAGACAAGGCCCTGAGCCAAACTCTGAAAAACTGCTCTACGTCCAAGCATGCCCGCCACCAGACAGCACGTGCTGCCTCCGGGTCTCATCTCCCCCAAGGTTACTCACTGCTATTACACAGAACTAACAGAGTCAGGGGACAGCTCTGGTTGGGGAGTCAGAAGATGTGGAAGTAGGTGCCTCGTGGGGCTCTGTGCCTAGGGTTAGCCACCTGACCTAGCAAGTCACTGTTGGAAACCTGAAAATTAGGGAATCAAACATTTTCCTGGGTACCTACTATGTAGAAGTTCTTTTTACATGTTTTATAATATAGTCCATCTGACAATCCTGGGAAGTAAGAATTACCTCCCTTATTTTACATTTGAGGAGACATAGGTCAGAGGGCCCGATGACCATCCCAAACCTCCAGGAACTTAGAAGACATAGAGGAAATTTAAACAGCGATCTCTCAGATTCCAATGTTGGAGTTCCTCCTATTATAACACTCTGTAAAGATTTGAGAAGCACAGATGAAAAAATGGACCACACAATCTACTACAGGTGTCAGAAACGTTCTGAAAATCGGTAGGTGGAGCCGCCAGCTTCCAGGCTCAGTCGCGAGATGAGAGTAACCACGCTTCTCGCCGCCTGAGAGTGAGCTACGCGCACGCTGCACTTTGCACGGGCTTCAGCCCGTGGGGAGAGCTCAGTGACTAACAGCTGCCATTATTACTACTACGAATAGTGATATTATTGAGCAATGCTCTATGCTAGGCACTGTGTAAAATGACCGACACAGGCATTCCCTAAAGGAGTCACACTCAGGCAGCATCCTGATGGAGCAGTTTACACACACGGGGTCCCATGTGCCAGGGGATTAAAAGGCCCCAGCTCCAGCTGATCATCCTGTGAGAAAGAGGCTGTGAGCACAATTGTCTGGGAACCAAAACCCCTCAAGTTTAGCACATCGGAAAGGAGCCTGTTATAGTTGGATAAACTCTCAGGGCTTTGGGAACCTGCTGTTATAAAGTTGACAGATGGGACACTTCAATGCACGTAACACACACACACACACACACACACGTGCAAGATTGGGAGTCATCGTCAGGTCCGGTCCAGCTAACATGGCCCTAACTTACATGACCCGTCAGGAAGCATAAGCCGACTCCTGCCTCATGTCCACGTTGACCCTGGTGCTTCCATGAAGGCAGCTGGCCAGTGGGCGCTCTGTGACAGGCGCCTGCTGAGTGGCTACCTACCAGGGTGCTTATTTGTCAATCAGATTTGAACTTGGTAGAAGAGGGCACATTGTTGGACTGCTGTAAAATCTCATAACATTGCTTAATTATCAAAAAGGATACATTAACCTCTTCCAAGGTGAGAGCCTGTGAAATCACAATTTGGGTGTCTTTTATACCTTCTTCTAGTACACCTTACAATAGATACATAACTATTAAAATAAAGTTGGCTTATGTGATAGCTAAAAAATAAAAATAATGTATACGCCACTTAGAAAAGTAAGAGCTTTTAAAAATAATGATTCCTACAGACAGGCTTCAGAGAGACATAAGCATTAGATGCAAATATTATACTGCTGACAAAATTTGTATAGTATAAACAAATAACAACTGTGGCTTATTAAGCAAATATTAAAGAAAAGGCAATATAGACAGTGTCTGCAGATATTGTCCATACAATACTTTTAGGCATTTGGCCAGCATTTTTTCAAATTTATTTTTTTCTTACATTTAAAAAAATTACACTGACCTCGTTGTATTCTCATGACAATTTGAAGATGATTTTTAAATTGCTCATAATATATTAGATGAGAAAAAAGCCAAATATAAAACTATATAAATAATAATCCCAATTATATTACATATATATGTATACTTCATATAATGTATATAAAATACAAAGAGATTATAAATTACAAACTTTTAAAATGTTGACACTGAATTTCTTTGTGTGGTGGGATTGAGCATGATTTCAGTTTTCCTCCTTATACTTTTCTGTATTTTCAAAATATTTTACAATAAACATTTTGTGAATTCTAGAGTCAGTAAAATCATACGTTTTTAAATGCATAAGATATTTTATAGAGTTGTTGCTAAGCCATTTGATTTTTAAAAAATATTTTAGATCACTTTAAAAAACACAGACTATATAGAGACCACAATCTAGGAACAAACAATTGTATTTTTGCATGTTTTTAATAGCTATTTAATATTATAATTTTCTTATTTTGCATATTAAAAGTTTTTCCAGTTTCTTTCTTAAGAGTTGTCAAAGAAAAGGTTTCTTTCAAGCATTTAAAATAAGAAGCCTCTTTGTGATATCTCCAAATTCCAATATCTAGTTACAAACTACTTAAAAAATATTTCCCTTTGTCATAGTGTTTGGGGACATTAATAGAAGTTATAAGCATGAATAAAATCAGCTTTCATCTTAACATAGCATCTTTTACCATATATATCATATAGTAAAATTTATTTAAAATAAGGTGGTAAAAATTCATAAAATCTGAGGAACTATACAATTTGATGATTTTACTTTTATTTTTGCAGGCATTGAATGAAGAAGATATAATTGAATAAAATGTGATAATTGAATGATCAAATGGCGCCTCATAAAATACCTCCACATAGGAGGTGCTCAAATGTTTGCTGAATGCCTGAAATCTCTTCCCAATGAATAAAGGCGGAGGTTCATCAGTGACCCAGCCAATGAGTGAATAACTTACCGATAAATGGGTAAGTAACATCTTCCCCCGTAACGACTGTGTGATCATTTCTCTCAGCCCTACGACACCCATGATATTTAAGGTAAAACGTTCGCACCGCACCTTGAGCTTCATCATGGAATCTTGACATAACTTGTCTCCCCGAGCGGCGGCAACCTCGTCAATCCCGATCAGCTTGGCCTTGTACCGGACCCCTTCCCCTTTAAACCTCTTTAGCAAAGTGGCTTCGCTGCGATCCTGACCTAAAACAGAGAAAAGCAGGGTTCAGAGACGGAGGCGATCAGCCTGATGGCCGTGGGCACCCACAGCGCCCGCGGTGGGCTCCTCGCTGTGGGCAGGACGGTCAGGCCACTGGACCACGTAGGAAAACACGGTGGGACTCGGGATGCAAATGCCGACTCTCTCCTTTCAAAATTCAAGGCAAGTTACTTCTCCTCTCTCAGCTTCTGTTTTCTTAGGCAGAAAAAAAAGGAGTTAAAAATAACCACCCCCAATAGGGCATTAATGGAAATAAATCAGACAACATGTGCAAAGTACCCAATGCAGTGTTTGATACACACTAGGTATTCAATAAATGATAATCACCCACTGACATTCTTGTTAGAACGGCATTAGCACTGAGCTGCTTTAGCATTTCTAGCGTTTAATATGACTTTGGCCAGGATCCAAGATCCTCCTTATACCCAATTCCATGTGCTGTTTTATAGTGAAACTCCAGAGTAATTGCTTTGTATCAAGTAATGACCCGGGACAATTATCAAAAAATGGTTCTACAATATCTCTTCTGATAATTCATGTATGTAAAGAAATAGACTTCCACACTACTTGGTATGGTGTGCCCACACCCTGCAACAGGCTTTCTCAGTAATTAACATAATATTTTGCTAAGACACATCAACCAGAAGTTCAAACACATCCGCATAAGATATGAACAGTAAAATTACTGTGAACTGAGCATGTGCTGCATATAAAATGTTTCATAAACTGTATCCCCATTCTTAACAACTCAACCCATATCCATTTTCCAGATGATAAAGATGAAGATCTGGGAAGGCAAGTAGCCTGTCCAAGTTTACATAGTTGGAAAACATATGACTACACAAGAATTCAAATTTCTAACCTCATCAAACTAGTTACAGTTGGGAGCATTGCACATGTGGTTCTTAAAACCTGGAATGCCCTCGCCTCCCGATACTCATCTCCGAAAACATCATTAACTTTGACTTCTTATACCCCCTCTATCGTGCCTTCCCCCATCAGCCAGAAACTTAGAGGGGAGGACATTAGTGATAACTCAGCCCATTTCACTCTATCTATTTGATGTGCCAAACTAAGGCCTTTCCATAAGGCAGGGTTGAGTATTATTTGAGGAAATGCTTAAAATAGAAAAAACACACAACAGCAACAGCTAACCACTGTACAATACTTTTTGAAGGACAGAACATGACTTGCATTTCATTCATTTATTCATCCATCCCTTACTGAGCATCTCCTCTGTGCCAGATGCTATTACTCACTGACAACAGGTAAATGAGACAAAGCCTGTGCCCATGGGAGCTCAAGGTTTTGGTGACTGCAAATAAAAATGTGTTGTGCGTTTTGGTGACTGCAAATAGAAGTGTGTTGTGCTGGGTATATAAGAAGGTATAAGCTTTAGAGTCAGACATCCTCATTTGAAGTCACAGTGCTCTCACTTGTGAACCAACTAAACTATCTGCTGAGCCTCAATTTCCTTGCCTGCTGCATGAAGATTAAATATCTCCTTTCAGAGTTGTTGTGAATAGTAACTTAAATGAGATAGTATGTGCAAAGCGTGTATTCACGGGTTTTCTATAAATAGTAGCTGCCACCAGTATTAGTGGGCCAGTAAAAGAAGTATGTGGAAGATACCATGGGAAGGCAGGAGGGCACAGAGGAGAAAGGTCTGCAGAGCCGGGCCTGGGCCCATGGTCCTCAACTCCCAGGTGGTGTTTTTCCCAGTGTATCCTTGCTGACTCCTAGCATATTCAAGCCTTTGAATAATATTTCATAGAGCAAATATAACACATGATTAGTGAGAACTTATAATCAGTATAAAAATTAAGTCTCTAGGGTTCAGTGAGGGCAGATGTCAGAGACTAAAGCTAAGAATAAAGAGAAGAACATTTGCCATGATACACCCTTTATGACATTTAGCTAAACAGCAGGGCCCATGGTACCACAGGTCACCTCTCCTTGCACTATTCTGTACAGTTTGGTAGGAGTGGCCTAGGGCTTGGTCTGTTTCTTGGGAAGGTCATCTTATTCTATCATAAATACCACCTCTGCCTCTTCAACACATGACACTATTTCATCACTATTAACATCCCTTTCACTATTTGGGACTTCTCCAAACTTGAATTATAACCGCAATACCAGGTAGCACTTATCATGTCTTGTACAAAGCCTATATATGCACCAACTTCTTTAGCCTCAGAAAAGAATCCTAGTGGTGGGTACTATTATTCAGGATTTACAGACAGGGCTCTAAACTGAAGGTTTGAGAGACCAAGTAACTTGTTCAAACTCACTATGTGGGAGCTGAACCCAGATCTATCTGACGCCGAAGCCCAGGCTTGCAGTTTGCTTGTGGTCTGTGTTTTCAAGCCTGGCCTCTTCACCACTGTGATTGACTTTTCCTCATCTCCCCAACTCCCCTGTAAAGCCCCGTCTTTTACCTGACCCAAATCTGTGGATGCTCAATACACTGGCAGCCTTAAAACTCCACTGGGAAAACAGCTCAAAAAAGGAATAGTTTCCAGCCTGCACGTCATGTCTAAAAACTGTCCATGAGTCAGACACAAAGAAACATTTGTCAGGGCCCAGGGCTCTGCCAAGGAGGACGCTTCATAAGGGGAAGCAGAGCCAGATCAGGTGAGCAAGGGCAGAGATTAATAAGAAAATATTAGGTCATTTGGAGAAAAGTAGGGAGTCCAATTTAGATTAGGACCCAGGGCCAAGCTAATTTGTATGAAGGGCACTTATGCAGTAGATAATCCAGTTTCTCATTAAATGTCCCACTATTAAAAGGGTAATTTTTCATGAGCACATCTTGAGCAAGGTTTCAGTTATATTAGTTAAGAAATAAATAACAGCTATCAGAGCCATAAGGCCGTACCATCCGAGGCACGTGCTATTTGAAGGTGTTAGAGAGGGTCAGTGTTCACACGTCCTAAGTGATCATGAATCCCCAGCTTATTTCACTGAAAGCACCGCTGACCCTGTGCTTCAGGGTGGACAAGAGAAAGGCCATGTATTTAAGCAAAAACATTAACATCATCGCTACCCATTATCAAGCATCGACTAAACCGGTCATGGTGGCAAGAGCTTTACCTATGATCTCCCATTTAATCCTTACACCTCCTCTTGGAGTTAGGCTCTGTAATGAGCCCTGGACTACAGAGTTGACACCAACACTCAACATCAACAGCAGGGCCTAAATTTTTTAATAACTGCTTTACTGATATACAACTCCCATCCCATTCAGTTTACCTTTTTAAAGTATACAAGTCAGTGGATTTAGTACATTCACAGAGCTATACAACCATCACCACTAGCCAATTCCTTAACATTTTCATCTCCCCCAAAGGAGCCCTGTATCCATTAGCAGTCACTCTCTATCGCCCCCAAGCCCACCAGACCTAGGCAACCACTAATCTATTTTCTGTCTCTATAGATGTGCCTATTCTTAGAGGCAAATTATATTTCATATAAATAGGGTCATCCAATATGCGGGCCTTTGTGACTAGCTTCTTTCACATCTCATTTTCAAGGTTATTTATTGCATGTTATAGCATGTATCAGTACTTCAAGTCCCTTTTTTTGCTGAATAATATTTCACTGCATGGATATACCACATCAAATGCCCACATCAAGATGGACATTTAGGTTCTTTCTATTTTTTTAGCTATTATGACTAATGCTGCTATGAACATTTGTGCATGTTTTTGTGTGGGAATATTTTTCAATTTTCTTAGTATTATATCTAAGAGGGAAATTGTTGGGTCACATGGTAACTCTACGTTTAACTTTTTGAGGGCCTATCGAATGGTTTTTCCGAAGTGGCTGTACACCTTCCCCTTCCCCTGCAAAGTAGGAGGGTTTCCTCTCTCTCCCAGGTGTTCTTGCCAACACTCCCGACTGCCTGTCTTTTGTGCTTTAGCCATCCCAGTGGGTCTTAGGTGATATTTCATCATGGTTTTGCTCTGCATTTTCCTCAGAACAATTGATATTGAGCATCTTTTCATGTGCGAATGTGAACCCAAGTGTTACGCAGAATTTCATGCTTTTAACAATCACGCTTTTAACCATGAGGCTATGGGGCCTCTGGTGACCTTACTAGATACTCTGTTATAGCATTTCCCACTTTTCACTTTGTGTCACAGCTAATGAGCAGATGTCTTTGGAGGCTATAGTATCTCACTCTTAGGACAATATGGCATCACAAGCACACAAGCTATGCCCAATCTTCTCATACTTTATCTCACTCAATCCTCCAGGGTTACTGGAAATAGGCGCTGGCATCATTCTATGGAGGAAGAAACTAAAGCCAGAGAGGTAAATAAAGTTACTTCAAGTTCGGCTGGGAACAGAACCTCAGCCTGTCCTGCTCCAAGGCCCGAGATCTTCCACTAGGAGGTAATAGGATTTGATGGTCCAGCAGATGAGTCCCAGCTCTCCCACCCATGCCCCTATCGGTGTCCCCTTGTGTAAGCTCCTTTACATGTCTACCCTAGTGTTTTTCTCTGCAAAGTGTAGATGATAACACTTGCTCCCACATGCATCATCGTGTAGGTCAATAAACGACACTGTCCTGACACACAGGCACATTTTTTATTCTGTTCCCTCAGTGTCTGTCGCAGCATCCCTGGCCCTCACTGACTTTGTCCTCATGTGCAGCTCCTTCTCTATACTTGAACTCCACAAGGACGGGGACTGGGATCGAGTCATCTGTGTTCTGTGAGTCTAGCATGGTGTCTGGCATAGAGTGGAACCAAAGTGCCCAGCTCTGCTGACTAATTAAATAAAGGGATGGATTTATGTATCTATTCCAAAAAGGCTCCTGGACTCCAGGAGTCAGTATCACTGTGGGGGAGTGTACGGAGTCACTTAAAAACCTCTCCCAGGTACCTTATTTCACATCCATCCCAAGAGGATGATTCACTGTCTCCAAGGAATACAGTTCCTCACAGGATAGAGTAAATGCACACCTACCGTTATTTTA